GTCAAGCTCGGGAGAAGAAGAGATTGGCATGAAACGAACGAGGCGATTAATTTACGATACATCTATCGTCTTTCCAATGAGTGATAGACCTCGATTTTGGCAAGTAAGTTTACGACGTCCTTTTAGAAGTTGCCTATTTCGTACCGACTCTACAAGACACATCATTTGGTACGGTTTGCCCCTCGAAGAAGCGATGAAATTGCATATTTGCAGGTTCGACACAATGATGAATGGGGTCCGTACGCCGAAGATCTTCCAGAGGTAAATTGTTTTTCTATGCAATGCTCCTGCACTACAACGAACAACATGGTCCTTTTTGCTTGTGTTCATCATTATCGCCAAACGCCTCACAACAAGTTACGGCGCTTCAGGCGAGTTGTCTTTTCTACAACGGAGTTTGAGCGTGAGGAGCATCAACTTTTTGAGCTAATCAATGCTTGATGTGTTTCTTCTTCTGGACAGATGGACGGTGGTCGACGAGACCTCACCATGGCCAGGTATCTCCTCTTTCGTGATACACCTAATGATGGACTGGTCAGAGGAGCAAAGCAACTTTTGATGGCTCGAGATGATACACCTTCACATTGGATCAGCTTCATTGGAATGCTTTGAGACGACCAGGGATTTTTTCTAGACACTCGCGCAGATGCTCGAGTCAATACGACTCGAACTCTTAGGGAATATTATAGTTATACCTTCTATTTCCATCTCGCAAGTAACCTCCAATGTCTCTCGCGAGTCATTGTGAGTGTGAAAATTACCTCGTCCGACGACCACTTCAGCGTTGTTCGGATCCGGGATACAGAGACTTGATATCGGCCATTCCGAGCCATAGTGTGGAGATTAGCCTCACGGATGGCCTCACTCTATGCACACGGATAGTCAGGGTCATGCATGGTAGGCGTGTCGCAACTTTGATTTTTATGATGACGAGCTCGCACGCCTGGACTCGCTGGAGATTTCACGAGGTAATCACAAAAACAAAAACAAAAACTCTATGTAGATAGGACCGCCGGATGGATAGTATTCAGATTACCCCGATGATTTCACTACTTGGCACTGAGGGGTAAATACATGAGAAAGGAAAAAATAACAAACGTGTGCTATCGGTCAAGATAGTAAATCTGCCGCGAATAGGAGAAAGATAGATTCTTAGGCATAGGCAGACGGAAAGTCAAGGAAGATGGTGTAAAAATTCGGCTCAAGTGAATACGCGTTAGTTCTACCATTTCAGGAGCTGCATGAAGGTATCATAATGATACCGGGAGCAAAGAGAGAAAGATGGAGTACACCTTCGAGTTAATCGGTGGGCGTTGACGATTAGCCCAACCATATTATGTGAGAATATTTCGGAGTTGCGTGAAGAGGAGAATCTTAACTGAGATAGGACTTCTCCAGGACTATTCGAGGCATGGCTCAAGGATCCAACATGAGAGTCTTGCCAGTATGTTTCAATTAGTAGGACTGCAAGTGAAGCAATCGAAGTAAGTCAGGGGTTCTTCCTGTACAGGGAGTTCGACTGACGTTGTATCTTTTGAAGTTACACCTTCTTATGAAGAGTATAGCTTTGGATTTCGACTTTATCCAGGACGAGGAAAGGATTGCTTTTTGGCAAGCCAATTCATCAAGTCAACTGCAATTGGTTCAGCATCGCACTGACAATTTTTGCCTTGCTGAACCAGCTGTGTATGAAGAGTTATCTCGACGACAATAGTTGTGTAAAAATGTTGAAGGCTGACTTTTGATAGGCGTGTGTGTTGTTGATGGCTTGTGTGTTTTGCAATAATGATTTCTCTTTGTTTGCATGAATTATGTGCAAGGGACTAGGATTTACTGATGGGTTTAACGTCTGGATGAAACCGTCCTAGTCGAGTGGTGTATGCATCGAGCTTGGGAGATCAGCAACAACCTCGAGCAAACAGGCAACGTCCACGATACGATGGTGTTTTATTCAAGTGTACCTATGCTACAGCGAAATGAGCAAACGCCCTCGGCTGACCTACTTTTGCAATTGCATGTAAAAGCTTTCGCATGTGGGTCAGTAGCTTGGTAGGGATACGCCCCTAAGGGTGGTGACAACCCCTTACGGAAGAAAGTTGTGCCCCGCGGGAACCTATCCGGTCCTAGGAGACCGCGGAAAGTACATGACACACCCGAATAGAGCGGCGAAGGGACAACGTGACAGCACTCGTCTCGGCAGTTAGCAACACTATTTTGCGTTGTCCTTGGGTTATCTCTAAAGTTTTTGCTTAACTCCTGCGTGATATGGTTGGGAGGGCTCTCGCCTCTTGCGAAAAGGGCGAGAGCCGATGCGCTCGACAACGATTATGGTCATGTGGCATAAGAACTATGTTGGGAAGGCATCGTTTATCCTGGTTATTGACGTAGTTGGTAAAAGTTCCCTGAAAGGATTGAGAGGCATATGTGAATGGTTCTGCATGTTGACCTGATTATAGGATTATTCCACGTCTTTGTGTCAGAATGACCGGCTTCAAGGCGGGTGTTTTGGAAGTGATCATAAGTGAGAGATTTGGATGCATTTCTGAGCACATGGTATACCAGCTTCTTGCGGCTTGGCCTAGCTCCGACATGTGAGGGGGAGTGTTGCTTTGGCACGATGCCTTCGATGTTAGGGACGAAGGTCGGCCCGCACCAAAGGTGATCCCCCCTTGCACGTTAGACCGACAACTCCATTAGGCATCATCTTTCTATGGCAGAGTAGGGTAGGAGGCGTGTCGTGTGGGTACAGAGACTCTCAGAAGGCCTGATAGACCCCGTTGTTCGTTACCCATGGGGGATGGCACCGAACTTGTCGTTAGGAGTCTTTGGGGCCAAAGCCATTGTAAGTGTGTCGTACGGAACTCGAGAAGAAAATGCTCATCGAAAGAAGTGCACATCCGTGCGACATTGCACGGTAGAAAAAGGGCCTAGGAGCGGGAGAAGTTGGAAGCCCTAGTCAATTGTTCGCATGTTAAGGCGCCAGAGATCAGCGCCCCTGGATCTTGGTCACGAGCAGGTTCACAAAGGTGTTAACCACGGTGTATACTACACCGACGAACGAGCAAAATCCCTCGCACGATGCACCTCTACCACAGCAAGTAAAAGCTGCCGCACGTGCATCGGTAGCTCGGCGCGGTTACGCCCCCAAGGGTGGTGACAGCCCCCTTGGGTACAGGAAGCTTTCCCCATCGGCCCTATCCTGCCGTAGGGCTCAGAGGGATGTAAGCTGGCACATCCGGTCGGACCTGTGAACTGTTTTAACTTTTACGTGCACTCTGCATACCCACACTCCTGCGTGACATGACAAGGACGGCTCCCTTCGAGGAGGAACGCAATGCGCTCGATAATGTAGAAGATGAGATAGACTCTTTGTCCTTGATGCAAACATCATTCATAAAGCTTGGTGGCCGTAGTCAATATCGGTGAAGGCATCCCCTTCCTCCCTTCCCACAAGTTTGTGTGATGCATTTCCTGCTCCAGCTGCTTCTTGTAATCCTCCTCCACAACCTCCTCCACTGTCTCCATCGTATGCACACTTCTATTATGAATTTATGAGCCTCACACATCATAAAATTTCTCTACATGCTCTTTACTGCCTTTAATGTCACAAACACAAAAAAAAGAGAGCAGTGCCCAAGATTGAAATAAAAGGTTACTGCATTTGATCTGATTGCCGAAGATTCTGAGTCAAGGCCTTTCTTTGCTGTCTTTTTCAAGTATGTACGTGATCTGCATGCAGATGTATACATGCTGTGTGCTTGCCTACTGAGTTGTCCCAGTCCGAATCCTTGCACGAAGTGTTTGGCCTTGATGTGTGTCTGTGTCTTAGACACTGACAAGGTTGAGACAGGGGTAGGACCAGGGACAGGACGGGAAGTTAGGAGTAGGATACACTGGGGGTAGAGTAGCAGCAACGGACATAAGTAGAATTTGTCCGAGGCCAGATAGGGGTTTTCCAGCAAGTCAGTTGGACCTGGAAGGCTTCAGTAGATGTCCACTAGGTAACCATGGTCGATGGCCTGAATGCAGGTCAGTAGAAATCTGGGTTCAAGGTCTGTAGATAGATATCAGTCTGCAATGATGTTTCCGCCAGCAGCAGGAACACCCAGTAGGCCTAGTGCACCCAGGGAGGCCGAGCAGAGGCAGGTAGTGCCTGGCCAAGAGGTAATGGAGGCCAAGCAGTGAAATGAGTGCAGCGGGACACACATTCACCAGGCAGTCACGCTGCTGCTTTGCCAAGAGGGAGAATTTGAAGAGTTCCTGGAGGTTGAAGGTGGAGCTGGCGGGTGAAGGAGAAGACCTCTATGGGTATGGAATAGTAGGGACAGGTAGGAGTAGCTCTCCGCTATGGAGGGGGGGGGGAGGAACGTCTACCCAGGATACCGAATGTAGAGAGTTTGAGGAAGTAGGAAGGTGGTGGGAGCCGGCAAGAACACTCACTTTTGGTTATGATGGACTTACATCTTCATCATCATGGTTAGTGCTGCATCAGGAAGGCCCCTGAAGGGGTGCCAGTTGGAGATGGACTTCATCTGGAGAGGATAGGCTTGGTGGTAGTTCAGGGAGAGTGCATGCGAGTATTTGTATTGTCCTTTGAACATCCGAGGTAGCCTTGGATGTTCCGCCACAGCCAGTAGCCATACCGAAGAAGGGAGGTGAAGTGAGCTAAAGGACAGCTTTTTTATCAAGGCTGGCAGTAAAAGGGAATAATCGGACATTGCTTCTGGTTCCACAGCTGGCAGTAAGGGGATACAATTGGACATTTATTCTGGTTCCAGGGCTGAAATTGGTTGTTGATAGATGAAGGGATGAATTTGTGTTTTTCTTCTCTGTCTTCCTTTCTTTCTTCTTCTTCTTCCCTTGTCTCATTCTTCTTCTATTTGAGTTGCAATGGATGGCATCATCTCATCTTTGAGTTTTCATCATGGACTGACAAGGATCATAGCAGTTGCAATGAACAGAATATGTAGATGAGGACAAGGGTAATAATCGTCGCATACCTGTTCGAGATACATCTGTCGCCGAATTGAGCTCTCTTGCAAGCGTTCAAGGAGCCGATGACCAAGTTGCTCAGCTTCCTCCTGCTGTGCCCTTTGCCTTTCCTCTTTCTTTCTTACCTGTCTCCATGAATCCAATGCAAATGTTGTCGAACATGTTCTCAATAATCTTTGAAAGCTAAAATGTGTAATGGACCCGACTCCAGAACCTCTCACCATCATAATTATGCAAATTCTCGTAATGCTTAATGGATGAAAACATGCAAAGAGATGGCAATGTGCTCTGCCAACCAGTCAGAAAAATAACGGAAGTGGGAGGAGAAGAATAACTCAAAATAATAATCAATTAATACACGCCATCTCAGCTGGTCTTCCCCTAGGACAACGTCTATTTCCAGCTCATATCACATCGATGCTGGCTTCCCAAGGCCAGCACCATCAAGAATAACACCGTATAAGGCCATGATGGCCTTCAGAAGCAAGTGTTGTCTCCTTCCTGAATGGCAACATCAGCTACCACAGGCTATGGCCTCTGCCTCATACCTCCCTCTCGTAGTTCTAAATTATATTGCACTAGCACCTCCGACTACCTAGTTATGGATATGGTCCTCACTCTCACTCTTGCAATGAACCCCGATCGTGAAGACTGTCGTCAACAATGCAAGCCCAGATAAATGTCAACCAACTGATGATAACCAATAGTCAAAATCGTAACCAGACAGAATGAGATGAGATAATCATACACAGACGAAGAGGGAAGAGGGAGATTAGACAAGGGAGAGGAATAATACAAGGCCCACTCCTGCTTTGGGCTCCCTCCTCGATCACCACCTCACTAGTCAATAGTCTGAACGTGCATCTGAAGAACCTCAATGTGCCATGAGGCACGTCTAATTAGTCTCTCATCAGCGCTGGGGAAATGTCGACATGAAGACCATCAGGTACGTATCCACGATCTCTCCACAGTCCCGATCTCCTCCTGAATGACGATAATCAGAACACTTCGCCTCGTCAACCAGTAGTCCACGTGGCAGCGGCCACGTCAGCAAATGATGCACGTGGCAGCAGCCACATCAGCGACAGCGCATGGCAGCAGCCACATCAGCGACAGCGCATGGCAGCTGCCACATAAGCATGCCAAGAAGACAGGTGCAAGCCAGCCACCATGCTGGACCAGCACCGCCTCGCCGAATCACAATGCCAGCGTCGCAGTGTCGAGCCAGCGTTGTAGTCAACGCATGAAGTCAGCATCAACGCAAGACAGAATGAATGTCAAAGCCAGGAAGTCAGCGCTTATGTAGCGTGGACGCGGGGTCTGGACCCCGGATGCTGCATCCTTCAGCCGTCCAGATCTCAATGCAAACGAAGGCCCAGATTGGTCTAAAACCGAATTCTCTCCGGCCATTAGCTTCGGCTGGTGTGCAAATTTGTCTTCATTGTGTGGTGGCTATGTCTACTTCGATTGTGCATGTGTGTGACCGGGTACACCGGATCACGGGGAAAAACGAGT